ATTTGGTTGGGTAATTGTAATTGTAAGGTTAATTATTTTTGTTAAGAATGCCAAATAATTATGGAAAATACATTAACATAACTAAATTCGTATTCAATTACTTTTGGTAAATTTTAGGAATGGAAAATAATAATTATAAGTTAACTTAATTACTCAATTCATTCTGTTTGGAAATATATTAATATTCTTGTACTATATATTTAAAAATATATTGCATCAACTACGGTCAGCCATATTTCAATCACTTGATACCTTAAATATATTTAATATCATGAACTCTACATATGTCATTACTATGTTTTTTAAGGCAGCGGTATTAGTTTATGCTAACATAACCATATGTATTAGTTTATTCTAACATTACACATAGATCCAAAAAACATGTTAAAAAGAATATTTATTATGAATAAGCTATTTAAATTAAGTTATTAGACGAATACATGATAATGGTGAACGCTGGTAAAATTTAAAAAATGATACACCAAGTTAAGCGTTGTCAACAAAATAGATATTTTGTTGTTCCTTGCAGAAAAGAAACATGTAGTTGGCGATTTGGTCGGAAAAGATACATTAATCACTCCACCTGGATAAAAAAGCTGGCGTGGCCGGATTAGGTAGTGACGTGACATTATAACTTTCTTTAGTTTCATACGTGTTATATGCGTGGCGTGATGTGACATCATTATCTCAAAATATACAACTACACATAGATAAATAAAAATAAAATAAAAAAATTCAAAAATAAATAAATATAAAGACACATCAGCAAAAAAATAAAAATAATTATAATAATATAAAAATAAAAAAAATAGAAAAATTAAAAAAATCCAAAAATAAATAAAAAAATATATTTCGTTCTATTCCTTAACTATATATTAATAAAATATTTTTAAAATTATATTTCGTTAATATATATTAAAACTTATTAAAACAATAAAAAATACTTTGTTAATATTTTGTTAATAATAATATTTTGTTAATATTTCGTTAAATATAAATATATTCGCGAATATATATTAAAAAATATTTTTTTAATAATGATAATTATATATAATTTATTATTAATTATATTATCTAATATAGTAGGTTACATAAAAATTTATTTACTTAATATATATATAAGTATTAAATATAAATATAAATCACAAAATATAAATTTATATTAAAAATTATATTTTAATTATTTCAAAAATATATATCTAAAAAACATATATTTTTATTTATTTAAATATAAATTTATACTTGAGATTTATATTTATATTTAATATACTTATATATTAAATAAATAAAATATTATGTAAAGTATTAAATTAGAGAGTATAATTAATTATATATAATTATTTACTTCATTTTACTTTTTTAGTATTTTTTAATATATATTAGTGGAATATATTTATATGAAACGAAATATTAACGAAATATATATTTAAAATATAGAGATATTTTGTTAACAAAATTCTATATATATTTAGTGAAATAATTTTTTTTAAATATTTTATTAATATATAGTTGACAAAATTCTCATTACCCTGTTGGGGTCTTAGATTACCCTGTTGGGGTCTTGTAATTTGTTCCTTTTGCACTTTTTTGCTTTTCTATATTACCTCTATCGTTTTGGGAAAAAAAATATAATGGACAAAATAGAACGAAATATATTTTTTCTATTTTTTTTTTATTTTTTTTATTTTTGGATTTTTTTCTATTTATTATTATTATTATTTTATTTTTTATGATGTGTTTTTATTATTTATTTATTTTTAGATTATTTTTATTTTTATTTATGTATGCGTAGTTGTGTACTTGGAGAGAAGGATGACACATAACGCCACGTATATAACACGTAGGAAATTAAGGAAATTTATAATGTCACGTCATTATCTAATCCGACTACGTCATGTTTTTATCCAGATTGAGTGATTAATATATCTTTTCCGACCAAATTGTCAACTAAATATTTCCTTTCCGTGAGGGACAACAAAATGTCTGTTTTGTTGACAACGCCAACTTAGTGTATCATTTTTGAAATTTTACCGGTGAATGCTTAACAAAATACTTGAATCATATTAATGTCAATAAAAATTAAGCATTATTATTGGTGAATGCTTAACAAAATACACCCAAACTTACCAAGATACTCGAGTACAAAATAGGAGTAATTCACGCTATAAATCTCATATTCAAAATCTGTGTATTGTTCTCTCATGTTCAAATTCGATGGTGGTGTTGATTTCTTGCATGACATGCACACTCTGGAGTTCTTAAATAGTATAAAATGTTCTGGTGTTCCAAATCATGAATTGCACTTAAAGGTTGAGATTTCTGTCATGTTGTTGACAAACATTGACCATTCGATTGGACTGTGTAATGGAACACGCTTGGTGATACCGAAGCTTTTCACTCACATGTTTGAATGTAAGATTCTAACGGGGGATCAAATGTTGAACATAAGGTATTGGTACCAAACCTTTCCCTAACTCCATCTGATCTCAGGATACCCTTCAAGTTCGAGCATAGACAATTTACTCTTATGTTTTCTTAAGCAATGACAATCAACAAGAGTCAAGAGCAGTCGTTATCCCATGTCGAACTTTACATGAAAGACCCATGTTTATTAGTCATGGTCAATTACACGTTGATGTGTCTCGAGTCACTAATCCACAGGGATTGAAGATATTAATATGTGGGGGGACGATAGTGGGGAAAAGAAAACTACAAAAAATGTTGTCTATCGAGAAATTTTTCAAAATTTGTATTACCATATAATATGGTACTTTTACTATCTATTCAATAATAATGTTATTTATTTGTCATTTACTTTTTATGATATATATATATATATTAATGTATTTATTAAAATATTTTAATAAATATGTTCCGTGCATCGCACAGGTGAAGATACTAGTACATATTAACAAGCGAATAACTAGCTCAATGTACACGCTACACAACTGAATTCAAATGAGATCTATACAAAATGTGGATTCCACAACCCAAACACTAACAAAACACCCAAAAGCTAACACAAAGTACAATACTACAAAAAGCTACAAAATGCTTCCCACTAATTGTGACAAAAAACTTTACTCCAAGTTTGATTCTTTAAATCTCCATCTAATTTGTTTTTACA